TTGTTTGCCAGCATTTTCGCTACGGCGGTAACATGTGCAAAAGTCAATTTGAAAATTGCCGCAACTGCCGCACAACCGCCCAATAGGCAGGAAAAGTGGTACTTTGTGGTTTAAGGCTTGTTTTCCACGCCCCATCCCCACATAAACAATCGACCCCAAACATCCCACCGGGAAGTTGTTTATATTGTTTTTAATAACATTCAGCGCCTCGCACAGGCAAAGGGCACCATGTGTGGCTTGCATTTTATAAATTACACTAACTTTTTTCTTCCCTTGCCTACGCACGCCGTTTGCATTTTATGTATTAGTTGAACTTTTGGCAAGTTCAATGTACATAAATCAAATGGCCCAGCAGCAGTTACTCAAATTAAAAAAAATCATTTTTACTTGGCTTATGCCTAAATGTAATTTCACATTTGAAAATGATTCCACAATCGTGCTTTTGAATTTTAAACACAAAATATGGTATAAAAATTATAAAAATATAAAATGTTATACAAAATATAAGAGTTAATCCATTTTTTATTTGCCACAATCAAAAATTCCAACCCATTTACTGGTTGCATATGAAAACAGTTTAATTTGTTAGAGTTTCAATAAATTTATTGTTCCATGAAATGAGACACCGCGGCTAAAGTAATACTTTGCAAATTCGAATGGAGTTCGTTAGCCAAAGCCGCAAACAGCGACTAAATTTGATGTACGATTGTATAATTTAGTTTTGGGAAAAGCGACTTTCGTGACAGACCCCTACTTTCGTCCTTTTTCAAAGGAGCCTGCCGTGGGCGGAAAACGGGAGATAGAGGGTGAACGGCACGGGAAATGAAATATTCGCAAACAAATAGACACACTTATTACTTTTTCGTCCTGGATGCGGCATGTTGGATGTTGGATGCTCCTGGCGCGTGTTTCGCTTACTCCTGCTGAAGACGTCTTCATGTTGTCGGTTTTGTCCTTTTTATTGTTGCTCCTGCCTTTCACTGACATGCCGCAATTTTTCTTCATTTCTGTTCCGTTTCGTTTCGTTTCGTTTCGTGTGCAAGGACCCACCGAGGACCTTCGTCCGAGATGGATGGGTTGTCTTGCTAATAATTTAGCAGTTAGTTTTAATGCGCTACAGTTGCTGCTGATGGCACATTTGTCCGGGAAACACAAATATACGGGCATAATGCGACACATTTACCGTCCAGCCTATCTGATTCGAGCCATTGGGTTAGGGATAACTATTAATTCACTTGCTCACTTTTAAGATGGGGCAATGAAAATATTGTGATTAAAGTTGCTCAATCTGAAATGAGCAAATTCGATGTATCACTATTTATCGATCACTTTATATTAAACAAACATATTCCTTAAAAGGTAGGCCATTTCCAGGCCTCCAGGCTCGAGCAACAGCATCTTGTCCGGATCTTGGACATGGGCAACATCATTTTTCTTGTCTCCGGCTCAACGAAAACAATGCAATTCTGACATGCGTTTAGTTTAGGGCCCAAAACATTCTTTCGCATTTTTTCATGCCAGACCGACACGTGTTTTTCCGAGGCAAGGCCAAAGTGGTGTGGTATTTGCATGCCGGCTGCTACAAGAGTTTAATTAGTTAAACAAAGAACAGAGGCTGCAGCAGACAGGGCCATAAGTTAGCCGAGTAACCCCCGGCAAGCCCAGTCCCCAGGCCCTTGACGTGGATGAGAGCAGCCCCAGATACCCAAATCCTGTGGGAGGCATAGGTAGCATTTAACGCCCGGCCTCCCTGATCCGTTCCCAGGAATCGTCTGGCGGCGGCCACAACTTCAAATACAAAGTTGTCGGGGGATTGCTACCCCCTGGGGGCATGGAACTTGCTGCCCAGATCTTGGGGCAGGCCTAACAGGTGGGGAAAACGGGGCGTCACAGTCATAATAATGTTTCAAGGCCGCTTTGGCCCCGGGCGTAGACATTGGGGAGAAATTTAAACGGCAATTTGGAGCCGTGTTTACCAGCCCCAAGGACATGGAGATGGGGCAGCTGGCAGGACGAGGACGGCATCACGGCGGCAGCATCCAAAAATGTGGGCTGAACTCTTATTTTTGGCTCTCTCCTTTTTCTTGGGGGGGTCGGCGGGGCATAAACTCCTTACGTGCCTGGCAAACCTTCGAGATGGCTGCTGTCTGCCATCCATGTTGCACTCAAAAAAATTGTTTACTTAACCAAATAAGTTGTCTTACAAATTCATATTTCCTAATTAAAAAGTTTCCCAACTTAGCAATTAATAAATAAGTATCTTTTTGTGGTTCAAATACAATTTTTGTAACATATTTAGTATACAAAAAATACCATATGATATGATATAAGGATGTGGCTTTAAATAATTGAGTTTAATTGAACTTACACAGAAAAGAAAAGTTCAAAACACATTAAATACATCATTGCAAAATATATAAATATATCATTACTTTCAGTTGAAAGTATAATACAAAATAGGACAAAATATTTCATAATGGAGTTGGACAAATTTTCATTCTCTAATCCATTATCCGCATCTCTTGGTTATTTTTCTTGAATATTTGCGATTGCGCGATTTTTTTTGGCAGTGCTTGCCCCAGAGGAAAGCATTGCCCCTTTCCACATTCGCCCACTTTTTTCGGTCTGGTGGCAGGCATGTCGCCATCCCCATCACCGTCACCGTCACCATCGCCGTAGCCATTTCCATCGTCCTCATCCTGGGCACGTCACTTTTGGTTGCTTTAACTGTGCGTCGTTTGTTTTCCTTTTTCTGCTTTGGTGGTTTGGCGCACAAATCCACAAAAACGCACGGCACCCACTCACCCACTTCCTGCGTTTCATCCGCCTCCTTGGAGGACACCCAGTACTCGAGAACGCAGCCCCAACATAAAGTGTGTTTAACTTTTTGCGTTGATATTGTGAAAATGCCCCAATATCTCCAGCCTGCCTTGGGTAAGGATGCTCGTACTTACACAAAAATTGCACGATGTTGGCAAGATATTTCATGTGACATTCTTATATAAATAAGAGCCAAGTTCTAGAAAAAGTTTCACATATTTACATAAATTATAAACAGTCGAGCTAAATTCCCTATTAATTACAGCCAGCTATAACTATTCAAGTAATATCCTTTTTTATATAAATAAATATTGAACATTCCGGAGGTGCATGTGCAGATTTCTTTTCAGTGTAGCTGTAGTTCCAATCCTGATGGCAAGCGAGTTTTTGTTGTAGGCGTTTTGGCGCTTCGGCGCTTTCATGACCTTTGGCATATTGACTAGTTGGAAATTGGGGTGTCCATTTGCTGCTGGCTTATAACTTGTGGCGAATATTTTATGCACAACGCACTTACACTTCGGGCTTTGTTTATTTTTGTTTCATCGTGGCAAGCGGCTTCGCTTTTTTATGCGCTGCACTTCATTTTATTGTCCCGCTAAGCTGCGTTTGGGGAATTCAATGCCTATGTCCTGCGGCTCAGGATTATGGCCCCAGACAGTTCATCAAGCCAAGTAGTTGCTGGGCAGGTCAAAGAGCCTCCCTGTCGACTGGGGGATGGACAGCTTATGGCCAAGTGGGGCTTGGCTACTTCAGCTAGAGTGTATGTTCAGGCAGAACTGCAAACTTAACTTAAACTTTACTTAAGCGTGGATGAATCGATCACTTACTCAATAGTACAAAAATTGGGAAATATATATTGGATATTGAAATACACATTAAGCCTTGTAATACCTATATAGCGTAATATAAAGCTCGAAAAGAAAATTCAAGATGAATCAATCATTGCAATCATAGCCTTTAGCAATAAATGCCAAATGAATTTCTTGATTGTACTTCCCTTTCCCATTTCCTTTAGCCTCTGCATTTAACTGAAACCTAAATAATGCATTTACAAGTACAAGACTTGTCGCAAAATCAAAAGTCTATCCCCCACATAAGCTCACCATACGTTAAGCTCGATGTAAGCCGGCCATAATTAACTAAAGTCAATTGAAAATTACAAAAAGGCTTAAGCGCGTTGAGCTGTCGGAGGAGGAGGAACTGACAGCTCCCCCGGGGTGGTCCACTGGCACATGGTCGAGCTCCAGGTCGTAAGAGCCCAAGCCCACCCGAAATGAGTTTTCAGTTTCAATCCGCCCGCTTTCTTGCTACATTTTCCGGCCATCATCAATTTAATTTCGTAAGCTCACAGAGCGTTGCATAAAAAATGAATGAACGTCCATTCGTGTGGGTGTGAAAATGTTGGAAAATGTTGGAAAATGTTGGAAGATGTCGACCCGTAGGCTTTAAATCCCCGCAAGTATCCAAAAGCAGGAAAGAAAGGGTGTGAACCGAAGCGTGTGCCATTTTCAATATTTGCCAAAGCCACCCAGCATGCGGCTAATCTGGAAAATCCTGTGCCACGTCACGGGGAAAACGCTTGCCGCATCAACAGTGCCATGTACTCCATCACTGGGCTGCTGACTCACCTTCCCTGGGTGGAGAGGACTCCCGGCTAGATGCTTTTCCCATCCCGGGAGCCACATTTATTTCACTCCGCCCGCTGGACAATTGCAATAAATGTTTTTGTTGCCTACTTTTAAGGGTTGGGTCGCAGCTTGCAGTTGGTCGCCTCGAGGGCTTTTCACTGCCTTTTAAGCGAACCAGCATTGGGTATAAAAATTTCATTAAGATCCGCAGCAACATCCCCAAAAACTATAGGTAACATTTCCGGGCTTAAAGGCGATTTAAGGGCCTGGATTCCCAAAGGATTCTCGACGGGCAGCAAAGGGGAATTGATTTGATAATTCTGATTGTTCTTTTTATTCGTTTGACTGCCGGATGTAGCGGCCTGGAATCTGGGGGAATAAAACCAAGCTCAACTAATAGGTAACTACCAGTAACTATTTGTAAGCCGAAAATTAGGGAAACGCGCTACAGAAATCTCTTTAAAACTTGTAAGCGTTCCATGATGGAAATACATTGTAATATTTTATAAACTCAATGTAGTTGACCGCAGCGTTCTCCTTCCTTTTCTGCAGACCGTGCCAACCACAGCGATCCAACCATCGAGATCTGCCGCCGCTGTCCGCCGGACTACGAGGCGGAGTCGCTGCCCTCGTATACGATTGTGTCCGGACTGCCCACGTACGACGATGCCTTGGAGGAGTTCCGGAAGGCGGGCATCATCCTGACCCCCGCCATGGTGCCCATCATCAAGATCTTCGAGTGCAACGAGACCGGCAAGGAGCAGGCCGTGGGCTACAGCCTGGTGGAGACGAACATGGCGAGTGCTGATGCTGCAGCGGATAATGTGTCGCTGGCCTCGACCACCTGCAATTGTGGCAACTCCTCGCCCACCTCGTCGCTGCCCAGTTACAGTGCCGCCACAGCGGCTGCGATGGCAGCGGCGGCGGCGGCAGCTGCTCCTCCCCAGGTGATCGAACTGTCGCCGGAGCATCTGGCCTCCTTGTCCCAGAAGCGTCTCTCCCTGCAGATCTCATTCAATAACTCGGTGCGCCGGCAGTCGCCGCTCAGGAATCATCTGCTCAGATCCCGGGCGGTGGGAAACACCGCCGGAGTGGGTCCATCGGAGGCAGCCGGTCCTGCCATTCACGGTACAGGAGCTCACGGAGTCCATGGCGGCGGAAGTACCACCATCCTGCCCGTCCTGCATCGCTCCTCCTCCACGATTTCACTGTCCAACGAGCGCCAGTTGCTGGACCAACGCCTCAGGCATCTGCATCACCGCGGTTCCCTCTACTGAGAACCCATATAGAGCATTTAAGCTGCCTGACTAATCCTTCCTAGAGGGTATTCCCTACGTTATGCATATCCCAAGAGTTGTTAGTTGTAAGACACGGACATAATAAACATGCGTTGTTTTGTGATGCCTTTTGTTTCAAACTTAAAGTGTTTTTGGGAGAAACTGGGCCATGGTCAGAACAAATAGAACATTTTTCAAATTGCTTTAATATTTTAATATTTTTTAGTTTGCCCATTTAAATAGCTGGTATTCATAACATAGAAAATAATTTAGGTGTTTTTAGGTACCATGGTTGTTTGCTGATAAACGTGAGTAGAAATCGCTTAAAATCAATAAAAGCAAGTAAATACATCGCCCCCACTAATTACTATGGAAACTAAACAAAATGTTTTATGGATGCCATCCCCGGCTTTCTTCGCAGTCTATTTAATAGTAGCTATGAGCGCCACAACACGTACTGGATTAATTCCCACGCCCAAGAGGCATGTCAAGTATTTAAAGAAAGTAAGGAACCCATCATTACTCGAATGTATTTAGTTTGCCTTTCTGACTTTAAAAGGAAAAAATACACACATGGGATTATTACTTTAAGATAAGAGTTTAGTGAAAATTTGTACAAATTTGTGTTCTGTGTGGAAATTAAAGTACTCCTGTTTTAATAGCGCAAAAATCAGCATGGCGATATATCGCGAATGCCTCTCAAGTTTGAGGCCACGCCCATGCCGCTGTCGTTGCGTCCGTTTGGAGGACTCTTCAATCCTTTCGCCAAGGGATGCTCGGTGCTGTGCAACCATCCCGCGCCATCCGGGGTAAAGGATGTGATCAACCAGCTGAAGACATCGTTGGCGATCGAGGGCAAAGGCCAGCAGCACGGAAAACAGGATAAGATTCCTGAGGAGCCGGAGCTGCAGCCCCATGAGGCGGATAATATTCCGGAGGATCTGTTCCGGCGATATGCGGAAACGGATTCGCGTCCGATGACGCCGACACCCACGGTAACGAGTATTCATACCAGAACCAGTGCCGGCTCCTTCTATCGACGATGCATTACTCCGGAATGGGGCAAACACGAGAATATAAAGCGGAAGAAGATCATATTGGACCTGCGCAGATCCCACTCCCAGGAGACGCTCTACTGGAAACCTAGTTCGGAGCTGACCCAAAGCGGCCTGGAGGAGGACAAGAAGCCCAAGAGTGCCGGTGCGAACGAGGACAAGAAACCAAAGAGGCAGCCCTCCAACGAGCAGAGGCCGAAGTCCTCGCTGGGCACCGCAAGTCTGGCACCCGGCGGAGATGCCAGCAATGATCTGGAGGCCAAGCCCAAAACCTGCATCAATGAGCACGAGCTCAGCGACGAGGATGTGCGCAGGGGCAAGAAGCGCAAGAAGTTGAAGCCAGCTCAAGGTGGGAAACGCTAAACAATCTATTGAGTTGATTATATCGTTTTTCCAAATTAAAGCCACCACCACATTCCACCTAAGTGAGGATCCCGAGACGCAGGTGGCTGCTCTGGGTCCTGATTCGCTCAATCCCAGCACCAGACCAAGTTTGATACCCAACTCACTCACCTTGTTGCCCAAGGATAAGCGAGAAACTGAGCGAGAACCGATCCTCCTCAAGGGCAGTTTCCTCACCGATGAAGCCTTCCAGGCGCTGAAGACCGACCTAGATGTGGATCTTATAGAAAACACCTTTGGAAGATACGTAAGTGAAACTATTTCAAGTCTTGCTATTGTTCTTAACAGCGTGAATCCATTTCCTGCAGCTCAATAGAGCTCTTCGAGAGGCCATTAAGTACATGCCACCAAAACCGAAAACTGTGTCGAAGCCCGTCGATGATAAAGTTCCACCAGAAACAACGTCCAAAATGCCGCGAAAGTTCTCCAAATCAGCGACCAGATTCGATGTACCCATGGACCTATCCATGCTAAAAAGTCAGTATGCTTCAAATATTTTAAAGAGATAAGCTCTGCTAAAGTTACTCATTCAGATATGACGCCCTGGGATTATTTGAGCAAGTGCGTCTGGGTGTCGCATCAGAGAAAACAGCTGTATAAGCGAGTATTTCTAAAGTACTTGAGTAGAATCGAGGAGCCGGAAAGCGAGTTGGCCGCCATGGGGAGTGATGAGCTGCCGGAATACACATACCGGGAAAGAACCCTCGTCTGGCAGAGTCTGCCGCAAGCTCTCGAGGATGTCTTGGAGTTCCATGGCACCGAGGAAAATGTGCAAGGCACACTAGGAATGCTGGGCTACGATCCCCGAGGATCGGGAGATTTGGATTTCCGCGCCTGGTGCGGAATTGTCTCCTTCGCCGAAAGATTGGCTCTAGCTGATGAGTCTGGATCGGATGACTCGTGCGACGAGTTGGAAAAGGCCGACTTCAATAGCATGGAGCAAATAATGCCGGACTTTACTGTGCCGGAAAAGCTCAAGGAAATTTTCGATGTAATTCGAAAGACCCATAAAAATAGATACTGATTTAAGATTTTACTTAATTATTTTCACTGTAAAATGAAACTTTAGAATATGTTTAAGGAAAAATATGAAAAGAACAAAAGAAAGAATAATATGAATATAATTATTCCAAAACTATATTATAAATAATAAAAATGGATAATAACTTGAAAAGCAATTTTGAATTTCGTGGTCTTCGAAAGTACATACTAGCAAAATATTATTAAATACTAACATAAAAATTCGGAGAAAATACCATCATACTAATAATGGTGTACTATCGAAACTGTAATATCGGTATTGCGTGCAATTTACAACAATCGACCTATCGATACACCATTGGTTGTTAATCCAGACTAATTAAATTGTAAATTAAAGTAAAAACTCGGTAATTAACCATCATGGCCACCTTGGAGGACAAGCTACTGGGCGAGAAACTGGAGTACTACTGCAGTAGCAGCGAGGGCGAGGACAACGGCGATGAGGGCGACGAATCCAAGGGAGCATCCGGGAAATCCCGATCCTCCGGTCTGACCATCGACACAAATCCGGATGCGACTCCGGCGGGTGGATTCCGGCAGCAGAGCTCCACGAACACGGGTCCCAAAGGCGTGGTCAAGGACTGGCAGAGATTTAAGCAGCTGGAGGCGGAGCGCCGGGATGAAACCGAGCGTCAACGTCTGGCGCTGGCCAAGAAGCTCACTATTACGACGACAACGTCGGCGGAGGACGAGGAGCGCAAGCGGCAGGAGGAACTGGACGCCGAGCTTGACGAACTGATGAGCGAGGACTTCCTGCAGCAGTACCAGAAACAGCGGATGGCCGAGATGCTGCGGCAGACGGGACATCACCAGCAGTTTGGCCAGGTGCAACAGCTGACCAGCCACGAGGAGTTTCTCGCCTGCGTCGAGCAGGAGAACAAGCACACCACCATCATCATCCACATATACGAACGACAACTGGCCGCCTGTGCCACCCTGAACAAATGCCTGGACAGTCTGGCCAGCGATTATCCGTCCATTAAGTTCGCCAAGATCTGCAGTTCCGTGGCCGGAATGAGCAGGGACTTCCGCACCAAAGGATTACCAGCCCTCCTGGTTTACAAGGCCCAAGCGGTCATCGGAAACTTCGTGCGGCTTACCGATGACCTCAGCGACGACTTCTTCGCCTCCGACGTGGAGAGTTTTCTAATCGAGCACGGCATCATAGTGGACAGGGCTCTCTACAATTGAGAAGGTAGCTGGGTTTATAAACTGACAAGTAACTTATTCGAGGCTTATCCCACGGCTGGACCCATTAAATTATAGAAAGCGAAGTGGATGTTTCCAACTAGGCTGGAAATATTTTTTTTGAAACAAGATTGCTGAGAACTAAACTTTAATAAGATAGCCAAACCTTTTAGGTCCCTATCTTTGTTTTATCTGCATTAAATCCCGAACAGTCGTCTAAAATGTTAATATAATCAAAATAATTTGTATTGACTTAAGAAACTAACACGACTTCTTGGAATCTCCGAGTTACTTGGCAGTTTAAGCCTGGGGCTTAGAATTATCCGCAAATTTTGACCAAATATGTGTTCGTAAGATTAGCATTTAAGAGAACTTAAGCCCGCCCTTCTTTTTGATTTTGCAATTGAATTATTTATTTTTTCCATTCAGTAATTAGTTACATTATATGTATGATTCTTTTCTCTTTTTTGTTTTTTGTATACAGAAGTTCTTAAAGTGCAACTTTCACAAAATGGAAAATGTCTCTAAATTGGGTAAATCAAAAAATCATAAAATTAAATTAAAAATATTTGAAAAATGTATTCGAAATGCATTTTGCACTTGAAAATATATGGAACAGATCCTGCTCACTAAATATAGCGTATATCTATAACCATTCTGTCATCATATACAACACGATTTATATTTATATAATAGTATTTAGTGGCTAATGAATGTACTTCACTCGAACTCGTACTCCGTAAGATTTATACAATTATATATTTTATAGCTTATAGCCTACACATATACAGCAATAAAAATGATGTCGATAAAATTCTTTTTTTTTGTTTTTGTTTTGTTTTGCTAGTCAACAAATTGGTGTTTCTTGAATTTCTCATTCCTATGTTCTGGGCAACATTCAGAGCTTTAAATACTAGTTTTTACAAATTAATAGATGCGTTTCATACTACGTATGAAATGGCAAAATAAGTTGCTTTTTTTGTATTCGTTTTATTTCCTTAGCTAACATTTAGATTAATTATGTAAATTCAATTTAAGAAACACACCAAATGTGGTCAAACACAGCGAGGAAATTGTTTCTTTCCCTAACTTCGCAAAGAATTTTTCAATGAAAGCTGAAAAATCTCCAAGTCTGGGATGAAGAGGAAACAGAACTCTAGTGGCGGGGCAGTGGAAATCAATCTGGAGAGGATCCTTTCGGACCTTCTGGAGACTTTACATGGATTGGTACTATTAGTAACTAGTCGTAGAGGATTCGCTAAATCAGATTCTATATAAAATGGAATTATCTCATCTGTTTTAGCTGTTGTTTGGCGGTTCTGCTTCCCCGCGGGAAGGGCTGTTTACCATATCGTTTAGTTAATATACATATTAGATATATCTTGGACACATAGACATACACGCATATATGTACACATAGCACTATTAACGATAACATCATTGAAATAACATCCGATTTACATATTGATTTCCTTTCGCAGTTACAAGTTTAATTTGAAAACGCTTATCTAGATATTAAATGCTAAGTTTTGTTGTTTCTATCTTTGTAAGAGTAATGTAGAATTGTATTAGATATTTTCGCTTGGTTTCTGTTTAGTTTTGATTTTGTACTTCACTGTATCAAAAATGATATATCGGGTATATCTGTATTCGGATCTATGATTGCCTTTGAAGAGCTCCATTCATTTGATTAGTTTCAATTTGCAAAGCCTAGAGCATTTATAGTGGTTTTTATAAAGACAGAGAGTCGGCCTCGATTGACTCGAATCGATTGGTTGGATTGTTCAGATGCTAAAGAGTTTCGAATTTCTTCTGCTTTTTGTATCGTTGTTTCGGTTTGCGATCAGGTGAAAATTTCGTTTAGTTTTGCCTTGACAATGTTCAAGTTTGAGAGATTCTTGGCTAAAACATAATCAATAGTGTAAAATCAACCTAATTTACACAACGAAATGAATGCTGAATAAAATTTGGCAATTTGTTGCATAATATAGTTAGTTTCAGTTGTAAATTGTTTGTTTGTTTGTTTTCATTCGTTCGCTTTTCATGTTTTTTGTTTTGTTTGTTTAACTAAAGAAAATCAGCCTTTTCTTGCTATACACATTAAATACATATATCGTTAACAATAACCTAATGTATGATGTTATTTTGGGAAGCCACCGAAATCTCCAGAGATTTAACTGGCCAGATAAACACACCGGCCAGCTGGATCAGTAGCATTTCATTTAAATCTCTATAGATTTCTTCGGCACTCCCGCTCTTGTGTGTGGGTTTGAGTTGGAAGTATGTATACGTATTAAAAAATGGTTAGATCTTAACATAGTTATGGGCCGAGGCTTCCTGGGTGTGCTTAGCCTTCGGTTGAATGGGCTGTTGTCCTTGTTACAGCCGCGGCGGCTTGAAGCTCAGCGTGGTGCTGCACTCCATACCCACGTCCATTGCATCCGGCGTCGAGATGCCGCACTCGGCAATGGAGTTCCTCACGGATGGTGGCTGCTCGGCTCCCGGCAGAAGGCCCACCATCAGTAGGGGTTTGTTTAGCACCGGAACTCCGCCGGCCGATCCTGCAGCTGCTCCAGGATTTCCGGTCAACTGATCACTGCCCAGGCTATTGCTACTGTTGCTCTGACTATTGCCGCCGATCTGCTTCTCCTTGTTCCGCCGCAGCGAGGATCGATACTGGCGCGGCACATTGATGAGCAGCCGCCTGGTGGTGGGATTGTGGGTGGTGGTGGTGATGGCGCCCCCGAGGCTGGGATTGAGGCCAAGACTGGCGACCGGTCGTCGGGCTGCATACTGAATGGACTCGGCGCTGTTACTCAAACGGATGTTGCCAACTAAAATCGGGTGCGGACATAAGGTTGGGACAAAGAAAAAGAGGAGAAATAATATTGCTGATGAGTTCATTTGTTTCATTCGGAGGTCTGGGAGTAGAGCAAGTGAATGTTGGTGTTGGTTTGTGGTTGAGGCGCTTTCTTGATGTTATATGGCTTACTACTCTCGTTTGCTGTGGTTGTTGCTGCTGCTGACCGTCTCTGTGGGCGTTCCGACCACAACAACTCACAAAAACGTTAACAATTAGTGTACGAAATGTGGACAAAACACACAAAACTCGGGGTTAGTAGGCAAAATCGAACAACAACAAGTACAACACACGTAATTATGCATGTATCACATGTCGGGTGTATCGAGTGTAAAAACACACAAAAAACAACACAAAAAGCTTTCAACATATTTCGATTTCGGTTATACACAGTATAAATAAATAAAAAAGTTTATTGTTACAAAGCAAAATCATAAATGGATAAATGGGAGCAAAGTACAAAATACGAATAAATAACTAAATTATTTGACAGCTAAATCAAAAATAATACAAATTAAAAGGTACACTTAACAAAATTCCGATGGGCTGGTGGGGACAACACAGAAATCTTGGCCTATCATGCTTGGTTAGGGAAATTAATATTAGGTTGCGTATTCCGCTTTGATTCCATCTTAATACTTATGTGGGCATGATAAACACTTTGAGTTCCTTTCAACAACACGAAAATAAATAAAAAACTTAAACGTATGTATGTTTAGCATTAGTTGGACATGAGCAAAATTTATGATTGGATGCAATTGGTAGCTACAAAACACAAGACATTTCATTCCGATTGCTCAGCTCGCATTTGTTCACTGCGTTCTTCTTTTTTCGTCAAAACAAAAAGTCCAAAACATTGAAAACGACTGTGGCAAAGTTGTTGTTGTGGTTATTGTTGCTATTATTGTGGCCGCTCCTGTTGTGGCTGCTGCCCTGGCTCAGATCGGCGGAGGTCACGTCAAAGGATTGGTACAAGGACGAGCCCATGCTGCTGCGATGCTGCTGCTGCGGCGTCGAGTGCCGCAGCAGCAACATTGCCGCCTGCCTGGGCTCCACGTGATGCTGCAACTCTTGGGCCTGCAGGGTGTGCAAGCCACCGCCGTCCAGAGAGTCGCCATCGCTATCGGTGACCTCCACCAGTTGCTCCTCGCGCACAACGACAACAGGTGGCAGCCGGTTCAAGCATTGACTGGAGTAGTAGCATGTGCTGCTGAGCGGTTCGTGTAGATAGTTGGCCAGATCGTCGCCGAAATGAGTGTTGTTGGTGGTGAGCGTAGTTAGTCCAGCGTTATAACTACCCGAATTGACGTCCAGCAGCAGGCGACGTTGCTGCTGCTGCTGCTGTTGATGCTGATGCTGATGTTGCATGGGCGGTGGTCTTAGTAGACCCTTGGAATGTAATTGTTGCTGCTCCTGCTGTTGCTGCTGCTGCTGCTCCTTCTGCTGTCCGTAGCTATCCTCCGTATCCATCATATCGTCATAGTGTTGCTCCTGCTCCTGCTGCTGCTGCTGCTGCTGCTGCTGCCTGCGGTAAAAGTGATAGAGCAAGGCCGCCTGATTGCGTTCGCCCTCCGTTTGAGCCTGTCGCATGTCCCTGGTGCTGCCGCCGCCCAAATATCCAGCGGCTGCGGCCAAACAGCAATTGCTGCACGTGTCCGCCGGCAATTGCAGCGTGACCACCGCGTCCCGGGGACCCAGGAACCACTCGGAGCGGGTGCGCATGCGTGCGGTTTGGCGTTCATGGACCTAACACATTTTCCCATTTCGTATATGTTTCGACATGGCATTTATTGTTTGTTGGTTGATGTTGTTGTCGTGTGGTTGTAGTTGTTGGTGGAAAGACGAGGGGGGATTCAAAATTATCGCATTAGAGTTTTTGGCAATTGAAATTTGATTTTTAGCTAGCTGAAACTTTAGCTTGATTCACTTAATTTAAAAAATTGAAAAGCCAAATTAAAATCTTTGAAACAAAAAAAATGAAATTCACAAAAGAAAATGGGTTAACAAGATTATGTGATATATAAAATGCAGCAAAATCAGCGCAGTGGAAAAAAGTGCAAGACTATACAAAATGATGGAGAGAATATTACAGGGTATTCACCGCAAAATAAAGATGAAGAAAGAAAATCCTTAATCCAGCTTAACTTTACCACGAATACCCCAAATACTCTAAACAAGACCATTTTAATTAGGTATAGAAACATTCAGTGAAAAAACCGCCAACAAGCGCTTGATTGCTTATCTTGAGGTGGAAAGAACAACATTTAAATTCCGACAAAAATAAGATTAATTACAAATGCAGTTTTGGGTTTTCGGCTCGTGTTTTGTAGTATTCGCATGATGATGTTTTCGTATTCTCGTGTTTTCTTATTCTGCTTAACAACTAAATGTTATTTGGTTACGACTTAACTACCAACTATTATGCAAGGTGCAGCAAAGACATACAAACAAAACAGGCATGATAAAAGCAGGCATCTACGCTACATAGGACAGATAGCCAAGCGACAACGAATCAAAATTAAAATGGTGCACAGTTAACAATATTCGGGTAGCTTAGGGGTCTACAAATATGGTACAAAGTAACAATTACAACAAAATCAAAGGAAATTATGCCGGTAGCTTATGATACATTGGTTTAGTTATTTCCGATATGCCACCTTCACTTCAGTTTGTACAGCAAATGATAAGAGTGAGCACATAACACGAATTATAACTAGGTGTACATGGTGTGCTACATCTAGAGATAACTACTTTATATGTGGTGTCAAGAGTTTTTGAAAAGGCTGGTATACTTCTGCAATACTTATTCCAAGTTCTTTTTGTCCATAAGCGATTCTTTAGGATCCATAACATTCGTTTCTTATTAAGCTGCCTAACAGATACTTTTGATTAAAGCCAATCTAATAAAAACTGGCCTAGAATATGGCATTTCCTATTCCAGAGATAGAAAACAC